CTCCAGGGGACCTTTCTGACACAGGGATTGAACTCGCATCTCCTGCTTGGCAGGCAGATTTTTTACCACTGCACCACCTGTGAAGTCCCCACAAGGCCTCAGAGATTTGCAATGCCCTGGAGAAGCAGCGGGGCAGCCAGAAGAGACCTGGCCTCCGCCACCACTAGCTATGGGAAGTTGTTTTCATCATGTAATCACTCAGTGGTAGTGCTCCCTACGCTTACTGACTCATTGAATAAATTAGAACTTCCAAGAAGTTGCTGAACGTTAAAGCCTATTTAGGAAAACAAGCAACTATCAGTGGTGGGCTTGGAGTCAGCTCATAATGGCCAGTGAGAGCTGATGGCAAAACTTTAGGAGCTTTTTGAGGCAGTTACTAACCCACTGATGTAACTTGAAATGGACAATGGTGGGAGTATTTGTACCACATAAATTGGCAAATGGTATAAATTAAGGCTCTTTTTCACCTGCAGAGCCAGTTTTTAGGCATTTAGCAGCATATCACTGAATGAATGGGATGGTCAGGTTCTTCTACATCAAAGGTAATTATGTAAATGAAGGCCTGGGTCCAGCTGCAGGTCTGAAGGGCAGGAAGTGCATCTTACCTTTCCTTCCCAACCCTCAGCAGGTGTTCGGCCAGGGCAGCTACAGGACTCAAGGCTCAGCCTCTCCTCCGAGGTGCCTCAAGGGATCACTCCTCAGGGCCAGGCCCCGGTAGATGTATTTGACTTGAAGCCCCAGCAGAGTCTGAAGTCCTGAGCAGAGTGAGAGCCTGGAGGAGTGCCACGCATTATTTGCCTGCTCCTTCATCTCCAAGTTAGGGATTCAAGGGAGGATTTATAGTGTATGTGCATCAGGAGAAGGAAACCAGGCCATCATGGGCCGTCCTTGGGGTTGGTAGTGGGATCTAAATTCCACCTTACTAAATAAGGGCTCTGTTTTTCCCTCTTGAGAAAGAACCACCTCTGCCACATACCAGGGTGCTAACGCCAAGTTCTATCAAATCTGCATCCATCTTCACCCTCGGACCTGACTCGGAGGGCTATTTGGGGACACAAATGTTAACACATGAACTCTAAGGCCAGATACACAAGAGGTAGATGAGTCAGGCGGCTGGAGCATTGGAGAACACTGCCCCACCCCTTCCAGCTCAGGGTCTGTCCTCCCTCAGCCCCAAGCCTTGAGGTGCACAAGAGGAGCTAAGGGGGTTCCTGCTCTGAATCTAGCCTCCAGGTTCCCTGAATACCGAGAGGACAATGAAAATTTGAGCATATGTGCTATTTACAATAGCCAAGATAAATGTCCATCAACAGATGAATGGATAAAGAAGCTGTGGTATATATACATAGTGGAATACTACTCAGCCATAAAAATGAATGAAACAATGTTATTTACAGCAACATAGATGGACCTAGAGATTATTATACTAAGTCAGAGAAAAACAAATATCATATGATATCACTTATATGTGGAATCTAAACAATGATACAAATGGACCGATTTACAAAACAGAAACAGACTCACAGACATAAAATACAAACAAGATTACCAGAGGGGAAAGGTGGGCGGGATGGATCAATTAGCAATTTGGGAGTAGCAAATACACACTACTATATAAAATAGATAAACAACAAGGACCTACTATGTAGCACAGGGACCTATGCTCAATGTTTTGTAATAACCTATATGGGAAAAGAATCTGAAAAAGTGTGCATGTGTGTATATATGCATGCTAAGTTGCTTCAGTGGTGTCCAACTCTTTGCGACCCTATGGACCATAGCCCGCCAGGCTCCTCTGTCCATGGAATTCTCCAGGCAAATATACTGGAGTGGGTTGCCACGCCCTCCTCCAGGGAATCTTCCCAACCCAGTGATCAAATATGCATCTCTTAAGTCTCCTTCATTGGCAGGTGGGTTCTTTACCACTAGAGCCTCCTGGGAAGCCCATACACACACACACACACACACAAATATATATATATATATAAATGTCACTTCACTATACACTTGAAATTAACACATCATTGTAAATCAACTATACTTCAATAGTAAATAAATAAATGTTCAGCATTTGTAGACTCAGCGATATATATTAGATCCCTTGAGCTGGGATAGAATTAGAATTGTCCTCTTTTGGGGTAGGATACCTACAGGATCCATGAGGCAATCAGTCTACAGCTTCTTACTACTTGCTTTGTGCAAGGACGTATATGGAATACCAAGGCTATAAGATGAGTTGAGCCATTAAGTAGCTTAAAACATACGGAGTCTATCTCTCTCCAACCATGAGGTAAGTTCACTAGTGAGGCAAGACACTGCATGCAGAAGAGCAATGTGATTGATTGGCAGAGGAGTGCTATACATTTAGAGTTAGAGGTCTTCATAAGATGGAAGGACTGGGATGGTTACTGAGAGCTGATCTGAAATTAAAGGAGAGAAAATATGAGCTACCTGGGGGAGGAAAAGGGATAATGGGTTGAAAAAAGACTATTGAAGATTACCAATCACTAACACAGGTTACATGGCTAACATGGCTGGAGTTATAAGTAAGTGTCAAGGACCCATAGGAGGTCAAATTGGCGAGACAAGTATTTGTTTTCTGTTGCTATACAACAAATTATCACAAATGTAGTGACTTAAACTATATCCATTTTTTATCATGGGTTAAAAGTCTGTGCACAGTGTAGGTTCTCTGCTCAGGATCTCATGAGGCTGAAAATGGGTATAGGCTGACTTGTGTTTTCATCTTTCAAATGTATTCAGGTAGTCAGTGGAATCCAGTTGCTTGCAATTACGACAGAGGTTCCCACTTTCTTAGTGGTTGTCAACCAGGGGCTGTTCTCAGCTCCTGTAGGCCTTGTGCTGTTCCCTGCCAAATGATTTTTCCCAAACACGGCAGGTTGCTTCTTCAAGGCCAGGAGGATAATTTCTCATGCTTTGACTCTCTCTTATTCAGGAAGTACTGAGTTCCTTTTAAGGGCTCACCCGATTAGGCCCAGCCACCCAGAATCATCTCCCTTTTGGTTAACTCAATCTGTTGATTTGTAGTCTAGTCACAGGAGTTCTGCTAGTTCTACAGTGCATGAACCTTGGACGCCATCTTAGAATTCTGCCTATCTTAGACAGTTGTCAGCTGAGGGGCCATGGGGTGGGAAGGACATAATGAAATCTATTTTGGAGCCTAGCACAGGAAACCAGCCAGGAGGCTGTGTCCGTCACAGAGAAAAGGTGGTAGAAGTGCATGGATAAATGGGGAAGTTACTATAATGCATAAATTCATAGGACCTGCTGTCCTTCTGCCTAAAATGCTTTTCTCCTGCCTTCCCTCATGGCTGGCTCCCTCTCACCCCACTCATTTCCTCCCATCTTGTGTCAGTTTGCCCCTTCTTTACATCCTCCTCTACCCTTAAACATGTCACCCAGCTTAATTCTTTCATGATAGTTTTCATTTTATATTAGTATTTTTTTCATCCATCCACTCCACTTGCCTCCAAGCTCAATAAGGACAGAGACCGTTGTCCCATTTGCACATCTTGGTATTTCCAGAATAAGGCCTGGTATATAGTAAAGAACCCAATAAATGCTGGATGAATGAAAGGTTAAATGAATGGATGAGCAAATGATATGAAAAGGCCAAAGAAATGTCAAAAAGCCTGAGTGTTGGGTATGGATATCTTGAAGAAAGGCAAGAAGTGGAGCCAGATTAAGAAATGTAGGGAAACAGAAAGATCTATTTCAGATAGTTTGAGTTTGGGACAACCACGGAACAACTGTGCAGGTAAGTTCAATAAGCAGCTGGAAATGTATGTGTGGAGATACCACAGAAAAGACAATATCTAATAAGAATAAAAAACTGCTTTGACCATGTAAAAGCATGTGCTGTAGACTGAATGTTTACATCCCCCACCCCCAAATTCATATATTAAAATCCTAACCACCACTGTGATGGTACTAGGAAGTGGAACCTTTGGGTGGTGATTAGGAATCCACCCTCATTAATGGGATTTGCCTTTATAAAAGAGACTCCAGAGAGCTTGCCTCACCCTTCCCACCATAAGCAGTGAAGTCGCTCAGTCATGTCTGACTCTTTGAGACCCCGTGGACTATAGCCCACCAGGCTCCTCCGTCCATGGGATCCTCCAGGCAAGAATACCAGAGTGTGTTGCCAGTTCCTTCTCCAGGGGATCTTCCCGACCCAGGGATCGAACACAGGTGTCCCGCATTGCGGGCAGATGCTTTAACCTCTGAGTCACCAGGGAAGGGAGAACACAGCAAGAAGATGGCTACCCACCAGCCAAGTAGTGGGTTTAACACCAGATACCAAACCTACCAGCACATTAATCCTGGACTTCCCAATCTCCTGAACTGTGAAAAATAAATATTTATTGTTTAAGTCACCCAATGGTATTTTTGATAGAGCAGTCTGAACAGACTAAGACAGCATGAAAAGTTGATTTTAAAATAAGCCTTCATTAGATATTACTCATCTCTATTTACAAAATCTCTGCTACTTGGAATAGTTGTCACTGAAGGGTTAGAATTAATGTTAGGATACAAGCAGGGATAAACTTCTTCGGGCACAGTTCCATTATTATCTGAAAACTGTGGAAGAAAATAAAGGCACACAAACCAGCACCTAGACTCTTCAGGATTAAGGGTGTAAGGGTGTGTGAATACAAGACGGGGATATGCTGGGCCACCAGCATTCCTGATACCCTCGTGGATATATAAGAAGTTCTCTGACAACCCAGTGTCACTATGCTATGCTTTTCACTCTTTCTTCCTTTCTCTGCTCACCTCCCTCAATGAGTCCTTCATCTGTCTTATCTCAATCTTTCTGCTGTGTTCACTCAAAGACCCCTTTCTCCCTTAAGTTTGTCCAACCAAATTATTTTTCTCCTTTCGCATGTATCAACCTGATTATTTATCTAGTAACCTTTTTCAACCTGTCTTTTGACACTTTCTTATCATATCTATTCTCTATCCCCTTCCTTTCACAGGTACACTGCTGTGGTCATGCCAGTTCACTACCAGCAAGGCACAGGACAGAGCTCCTGTCGACGTGTGGCCCTCATGATCACAGCTGTCTGGGTGCTGTCCTTTGCTGTGTCTTGCCCTCTCCTCTTTGGCTTCAACACCACAGGTAACAATGACAGTGTCATTTCCAACACCCAAGTGATTCATAGCACATCTGAATGTCTGTGAGTGGTGTTCATCCCTGAAATGTCTGACCTCAAAGGCAGTATATTTTGTAATCAAATGAGGATCGTATAGACTGCAAAGCACTGGCCTCTATTGATTATAAATAAAATAGAAAGCAAAATCTCTTCAATTAATGGTGCAGGAGCCATATTCTGCCCCAATTAATGAAGTCTGGCTTACTCCTATTTTGAAAGAAATACTATTGTATTCATTTGAAGAAATATGCCAGTTAAAAAAACTATGCTATATGAATAATTCAGGTGATATTTGTTAATGAAAAGATGATAACTTGTAATGAATTTACAACACAAAGTAGCATATCATAAAAGCCCTTGAGCAGGGTATACATTTCTAGCTTTTTACTCAATAAGAATCATTTCTAGCATTTGGGAACTAGGATACATTTGTGAATTATTGGAGGATGTATTTTATATTTTTAATGTACAGAAATTTTTGACCTTGGTGCTTGGCACATGGTACATCTTCTATTGGATGGATGGATGGTTGGCAGGATGGATGGACAGATGGATGGATGGATGGATGGATGGATGGATGATGGACAAATGGATGAAAAATGTGTTTATCTGACATGTCCAGGACTTTAAATACAATACTGATCCAAATTTATACCTCATGTGCTTCGGTGCCTTTCGCATCTATTCTATGACCATCTTTCAGCCTCAGGAATTTCATGTGTTGAATGAAAACTGTTAGCACATATAGTAAAGTTATAGGTATTGACAGTAAACACTGAGTATTCACTAAGAGATAACTACTTAATTCCTCTTCTAGTGTTCATCTGGATTTCTTACTTTGTCCATTTGAATTGGTTCATTCAATTCCTACTGTGTTCTATTTTTATGAATTTCTGGTATACATGTACAAGTCACATAGCTATGTACTTATGTGTACAGATATATGTAACATATTACATATAAATTCAGGTAAATCTTAACTTATAAATAGTCTTCAAAGAGTCATTTGCTGGACAATTATTTAGAAGTCAGAATACATTTAGGAAGGCAGAGGCCCTGGAGTCAGAAAAACCTAGATTCAAACTTCAATTCTACTACTTAACAGCTGTATCTGTTTGAACAAGTTACTTAACTTTTCTAAGTTAATCTTCCTTATTAACAACTTTGGGGTAATAATATAGTAGAGCATAAATGAACAAAATCAAATATTTGGACTAGGTCTATGTATTTAGTTAGGAAGTCTTCAGCATTTATTTTTATATATGGCCTCTTGCAAATAAGTGCAGCAACTTCATCTCTAAAATTGCATGTTATTTTGATCTCTTTGTAAAAGATGACATATTACTGCATGTGTCATATGTCTTTACTTATTACTGTTCAGAGTTGTAATCAAACCATGTATATTTTTATATGTGATTCAGGGTGAATTTTGACTCTATAATTTTCATTGACTCTAGAATCTAAGCCTACATATGCTATAACTTCATTCCACCTCCTTCATGGAGCTTTTTTTTTTACAACAAAGTGAAGATTAAATTGGGATAACATACACAAACGTGCCAAGCACATATCCCCTGCTCAAGGTGAGGCTTGCTTTTCTGCCATATTAGAGGTTAAATGGAGAAGTTATCCAATGAAGATATGCCTAGTTAATTCAGGGTGCTCCTAAAATATGATGTTGTTATCATCCTTGCATTGCTTTTTACCATTTCCCATTACCACTTACCAATGACACAGTATATACACAAACATGCATGTGCACACACATACACATACATAGGCAACATTCTGTAACATAACAATAGAGGTTGACTCTGGCACTCAAATACCATTTCAATGAGTCTAAATGTGCTTTGGGCATTAGTCTGATAACTAAGCCACCCTCTATATCCATGTTTCTATAAGAAAATGCCTTCTGGACTTCCCTGGTGGTCCAATGGCTAAGACTGTGCTCCCATGCAGGGGCCTGGGTTCTATCCCTGGTCAGGGAACTAGATCTTACATGCCATAACTAAGAATTCTCATGCCACAACTAAGACCCAGCACAGCCAAATAAATAAATAAACACTTTTTTTAAAAGAGAAAATACCTTCTAAATTGGAATCTGCAATATGGGGCACTCACTACCACTGCTAGACCAAGGTGATCCTTACCTGGCCAGCAGCAAGCCTCCAGCAATGTTTGCTGGGCAGAGTGATTCCTCTTACTCATTCTTGGAGGCTGGCAGGGGCAGTCTTACTCATGCTCACACACACACACACACACACACACACAGGTAACAGTCTCAAAATCCGACATTAGACAGAGTTCCCAGTTAATGTCAACATGTAAAGTGAAGAAGAATGATGAGCTAATTGCAGTCTTGTTGCCACCAGTGAGATCATAATTGTTCCAGAAACAAACTTTCCAAAAGGATTTTCAAATATAGAATTGAGAAGGCAAAAAAGACTCGTGACTTAACACAGGTCACAAGGTTTAGTATAGGCTCGCCTTAGTATATAAGGCTTAGTATAGCCTTAGTATAGGCTCACTTCTCTCTCATCTCTTTCTCTCTTACTTTTCAATGTATTCATTAGACTATAGTAAGTGAAAGTGAAAGTCACTCAGTTGTGTCCAACTCTGAGCCCATGGACTACACAGTCCATGTAATTCTCCAGGCCAGAATAGTGGAGTGAATATCCATTCACTTCTCCAGGGGATCTTCCCAACCCAGGGACTGAACCCAGGTCTCCTGCATTGCGGCCCAGATTCTTTACCAACTGAGCCATCAGGGAAGCCCAGATTATAAGCTCTCCACTTATTCATATATTGTGTTAAATTCTCTGGGCCATTATAAAAGCCCAATAGATATTAGTCAGTGTTATTATTATTATTATTATGTATTAGAAAAAGTTCCTCTGCTTCAAAATATAACTGTGCCCTTGCTCCAAGGAAATCTAAACAATGGTAGTTCTGCTGGTGGTCAGAGAGGAGCCTAGTCATCTCATTCTAGAACACTGGTTAGAGAATTTGTGAGCAGGACTCAAGGCAGAGAAGCCCAGCCATCTTCCTTTGCCTCGTCTGACCTTCACAGCATAACTTCACTATTGATATAGTGATATATTGCATCTATAAGGAAGTTCTCAAGTTATATTGAAAGCCCAATAGAAATGATCTCTCCATCATTTTTTCTTACCCCTCCTCATGTGAGAAGTAGAGGAGAAAAGGGCAGTATACTGCCAACACCTGATAGTGGAAGTCACTGGACTTCTACTAAATGCAACACAAAACACAACCTTCTGTCAGAGCTCTTCTTTTTTAAAATTTCTTTTTTCTTTTCCTAAATTAATGAATGTACATATTTGGCTGCATCGGGTCTTAGCTGCAGCATGAGTGATCTTTGCTACATCCTGAGGGGTCTTTCATCCCGATGCCCAGACTCTCCAGTTGTGGCACACGCACTCCGGAGCCCATGGGCTTGGTAGCTAGCCGCAGGCTTAGTTGCTCTGAGGTATGTGGGATCTTAGTTCCCTGACCAAGGATCAAACCCACATCCCCTGCATTGCAAGGTGGATGCTTAACCCCTGGACCACCAATGAAGTCCCCCAGAGTTCATCTTTTAATGAAATGGGCTGCCACGTAGGATTGTGAATTGTCAGAGAATATCAGTTCAGTTCTGTTCAGTTGCTCAGTCATGTCTGACTCTTTGCGACCCCAGGGACTGAGGTGGAGCAAAGTTAAACTGCAGTTTCTTCCTTCTTGGAATCACTCTTATTGCTTGAGAAGGGTGAATGCATTTCTGGATGCACACATAAGGCAGGACCATGGGTTGCAGACAGTTCCAAGGCTGTGGGGCCTGGTCGACCTGTTTTGCTTCAGCTCCCAGCAGAGGCTCAGCAGTCAGGAGTCAAATATCACAGCATCAACAGCCCCTAAGACAGTGGAGGTTGGAGAGTTAGTGCTAGAGAAAACCCTAAAGATCCCTGATCCTTCCATTGCACAGGTCAGAAAAATAACTAGGATTTAAATTTCTGCTGAAGACAAAGTTGCAGGGCCCTCCCAGAGAGGAGGCCCAGGAGCATTTCAGGACATAAAGCAAGACAAGGATGTGCCTTGATTCACATTGTCCATGATGACAATGTTTACTGCCTCTTTTGCAATCGTACCCTTGAGCAGAACAGGGATACCCTGAAAAGTAAACTTGCCTGTATTCAGCCACCACCTGCCCCACACTTGATTCAAACTTGGAGACCTGGCATTCTCAGCACAGAAGCCTTCCTCCTTTCTCTCACTGCGTTCTATGCCTCCACACCCGCAGGCCCTTTTCCAGGGGCTCCACCCTTCCTGGGAGCCTCTGCTCTGTTACTCTGTGACACTCCACCCAGCCTCCCAGGCCACACCCCTCTGTGACACTTAGCACAGCATACAGAAAGGATTGTCTATCTGTCTAGATTGTGAGCTCGTTCAAATGTAGACACCGAGTCTTAACTCATCTTTGTAGCCCCAGTGTAGAGTGGTGTCTGGCATGTAATCATCAGTAAATTTTCTTTTTAAGTGAACTGTGAGCAATACCAAGATGAATTAGGTTTGTATTTCTCCAATATTTAGTGATGTTGAACATCTTTTCATGTGTTTACTGGCCATCTGTGTAAATTGATACAGCCACTATGGAGAATAGTATGGAGATTCCTTTAAAAACTAGGAATAAAACTACCATGAAAATGAAGCATTAGCCGCTCATTTGTGTCTGACTCTGTGATCTCATGGACTGTAGCCTGCCAGGCTCCACTGTTCATGTAATTATTCAGGGAAGAACACTGGAGTGGGTAGCTGGTCCTTTCTCCAGGAGATCTTCCCAACCCAGGGATCAAACCTGGGTCTCCTGAACTGCAGGCAGATTGTTTACCACCTAAGCCATCTGGGAAGTGAACTACCCCAACAATCCCACTACTGGGCATATGCCCTGAGAAAATCATAATTGAAAAAGACACATGTACCCTAATGTTCATAGCACCACTATGTACAATAGCTAGGACATGGAAACAACCTAGATGTCCATCAGAAGATAAAGATATAAAGAAGATGCAGTACATACACAATGTAATATTCAGTTCAGTTCAGTTCAGTTCAGTCGCTCAGTCGTGTCCGACTCTTTGCAACCCCATGAATCGCAGCACACCAGGCCTCCCTGTCCATCACCAACTCCCAGAGTTTACTCAAACTCATGCCCATCGAGTCAGATGCCATCCAGCCATCTTATCCTATGTCATCCCCTTCTCCTGCCCCCAATCCCTCCCAGCATCAGGGTCTTTTCCAATGACTCAATTCTTCTCATGAGGTGGCCAAAGTACTGGAGTTTCAGCTTCAGCATCAATCCTTCCAATGAACACCCAGGACTGATCTCCTTTAGGATGGACTGGTTGGATCTCCTTGCACTCCAAGGGACTCTCAAGAGTCTTCTCCAACACCACAGTTCAAAAGCATCAATTTTTCGGCACTCAGCTTTCTTCACAGTCCAACTCTCATATCCATACATGACCACTGCAAAAACCATAGCCTTGACTAGATGGAACTTTGTTGGTAAAGTAATGTCTCTGCATTTTAATAGGTTGGTCAAACTTTCCTTCCAAGGAGTAAGCGTCTTTTAATTTCATGGCTGCAGTCACCATCTGCAGTGATTTTGGAGCCCAAAAAAATAAAGTCTGACACTGTTTCCACTGTCTCCCCATCTATTTCCCATGAGGTGATGGGACCAGATGCCATGATCTTAATTTTCTGAATGTTGAGCTTTAAGCCAACTTTTTCACTCTCCTCTTTCATTTTCATCAAGAGGCTTTTTAGTTCCTCTTCACTCTCTGCCATAAGGGTGGTGTCATCTGCATATCTGAGGTTATTGATATTTCTCCCAGCAATCTTGATTCCAGCTTGTGCTTCTTCCAGACCAGCGTTTCTCATGATGTACTCTGCATATAAGTTAAGTAAGCAGGGTGACAATATACAGCCTTGACATACTCCTTTCCCTATTTGGAACCAGTCTGTTGTTCCATATCCAGTTCTAATTGTTACTTCCTGACCTGCAAACAGGTTTCTCAAGAGGCAGGTCAGGTGGTCTGGTATTCCGATCTCTTTCAGAATTTTCCACAATTTATTGTAATCCACACAGTCGAAGGCTTTGGCGTAGTCAATCAAGCAGAAATAGATGTTTTTCAGGAACTCTCTTGCTTTTTTGATGATCAAGTGGATATTGGCAATTTGATCTCTGGTTCTTCTGCCTTTTCTAAAACAAGCTTGAACATCTGGAAGTTCACATATTGCTGAAGCCTGGCTCGGAGAATTTTGAGCATTACTTTACTAGCGTGTGAGATGAGTGCAATTGTGCAGTAGTCTGAGTATTCTTTGGGATTGCCTTTCTTAGGGATTGAAATGAAAACTGACCTTTTCCAGTCCTGTGGCCACTGCTCAGTTTTCCAAATTTGCTGGCATATTGAGTGCAGCACTTTCACAGCATCATCTTTCAGGATTTGAAATAGCTCAACTGGAATTCCATCACATCCACTAGCTTTGTTCGTAGTGATGCTTTCTAAGGCCCACTTGACTTCACATTCCAGAATGTCTGGCTCTAGGTGAGTGATCACACCATTGTGATTATCTGAGTCATGAAGATCTTTTTTGTACAGTTCTTCTGTGTATTCTTGTCACCTCTTCTTAATATCTTCTGCTTTTGTTAGGTCTATACCATTTCTGTCCTTTATCGAACCCATCTTTGCATGAAATCTTTTTTGGTATCTCTAATTTTCTTGAAGAGATCTCTACTCTTTCCCATTCTGTTGTTTTCCTCTATTTCTTTGTATTGATCACTGAGGAAGGCTTTCTTATCTCTCCTGGCTATTCTTTGAAACTCTGCATTCAAATGGGAATATTTTTCCCTTTCTCCTTTGCCTTTCACTTCTCTTCTTTTGACAGCTATTTGTAAGGCCTCCTCAGACAGCCATTCTGCCTTTTTGCATTTCTTTTCCATGGGGATGGTCTTGATCCCTGTCTCCTGTACAGTGTCACGAACCTCCATCCATAGTTCATCAGGCTCTCTGTCTATCAGATCTAGTCCCTTAAATCTATTTCTCACTTCCACTGTATATTCATAAGGGATTTGATTAAGGTCATACCTGAAGGGTCTAGTGGTTTTCCCTACATTCTTCAGTTTAAGTCTGAATTTGGCAATAAGGAGTTCATGATCTGAGCCACAGTCAGCTCCCAGTCTTGTTTTTGCTGACTGTACAGAGCTTCTCCATCTTTGGCTACAAAGAATATAATCAATCTGATTTCGGTGTTGACCACCCGGTGATGTCCATGTGTAGAGTCTTCTCTTGTGTTGTTGGAAGAGGGTGTTTGCTATGACCAGTGCATTCTCTTGGCAAAACTCTATCAGCCTTTGCCCTGCTTCATTCCGTACTCCAAGGCCAAATTTGCCTGTTACTCCAGGTGTTTCTTGACTTCCTACTTTTGCATTCCAGTCCCCTATAATGAAAAGGACATCTTTTTTGGGTGTTAGTTCTAAAAGGTCTTGTAGGTCTTCATAGAACCGTTCAACTTCAGCTTCTTCAGCATTACTGGTTGGGGCATAGGCTTTGATTACCGTGATACTGAATGGTTTGCCTTGGAAACAAACAGAGATCATTCTGTCATTTTTGAGACTGCATCCAAGTACTGCATTTCAGACTCTTTTGTTGACCATGATGGCTACTCCATTTCTTCTAAGGGATTCCTGCCCACAGTAGTAGATATAATGGTCATCTGAGTTAAATTCACCCATTCCAGTCCATTTTAGTTCGCTAATTCCTAGAATGTCGACATTCACTCTTGCCATCTCCTGTTTGACCACTTCCAATTTGCCTTGATTCATGGACCTAACATTCCAGGTTCCTATGCAATATTGCTCTTTATAGCATTGGATCTTGCTTCTATCACCAGTCACCCACAACTGGGTATTGTTTTTGCTTTGGCTCCATCTCTTCATTCTTTCTGGAGTTATTTCTCCACTGATCTCCAGTAGCATATTGGGCACCTACCGACCTGGGGAATTCCTCTTTCAGTATCCTATCATTTTGCATTCTCATACTGTTCATGGGGTTCTCAAGGCAAGAATTCTGAAGTGGTTTGCCATTCCCTTCTCCAGTGGACCACATTCTGTCAGACCTCTCCACAACGACCCAACCATCTTGGGTGGCCCCACATGGCATGGCTTAGTTTCATTGAGTTAGACACGACTGTGGTCCTGTGATCAGATTGGCTAGTTTTCTGTGATTATGATTTTAGTGTGTCTGCCCTCTGATGCCCTCTTGCAACACCTACCATCTTACTTGGGTTTCTCTTACCTTGGACGTGGGGTATCTCTTCACGGCTGCTCCAGCAAAGTGCAGCCGCTGCTCCTTACCTTGGACGAGGGGTATCTTCTCATGGCCGCCCCTCCTGACCTTGAACGTGGAGTAGCTCCTCTCAGCCCTCCTGTATATTATACAATATAATATTGTATATTAACACATGTCTATGGAATTTAGCAGAGAAGGCAATGGCACCCCACTCCAGTACTCTTGCCTGGAAAATCCCATGGACGGAGGAGCCTGGTGGGCTGCAGTCCATGGGGTCATGAAGAGTCAGACGCGACTGAGCGACTTCACTTTCACTTTTCACTTTTATGCATTGGAGAAGGAAATAGCAACCCACTCCAGTGTTTCTTGCCTAGAGAATCCCAGGGATGGGGTCTCACAGAGTCGGACATGACTGAAGTGACTTAGCAGCAGCATGGAATCTAGAAAAATGGCATTGATGGACCTATTTGCAGACAAGAAATGGAGAAACAGATAAATAGAACAGACTTGTGGACACAGTTGGGGAAGGAAAGAGTAAGATGAACAGAGAAAGCAGCATCAACATATATACACTACCAAGTGTAAAATAGATAGCTGGTGAGAAGTTGTTATATAACACAGGGAAGAGGGGTGTGATGGGGGATGGGAAGGAGGCTTAAGAGGGAAGGGATACATATATTAATATAATCGTGGCTGATTTGTGTTGTTGTATAGCAGAAACCAACACAACATTGTCAAGCCATTTCCCTCCAATTAAAAAATAAATATATTTAAAAAAAAAAAAAGATGAATTAGACTGCCTATGGAGTACAAGCGGACAATGTGGGTGTCTGAGATGGGACCCTTCCCCCACAGCTTAACAATCAGGCCATGAGTGCTAATTACACAAAAGTGATGACAATAAAGGACTGTGGGGCACAAAGGAAGTAGAGCTGCTTCTGACTGAGAAACTCGAGGCAGGTAGCCCCCTCAGAGGAGGCAGCATGTAAGCTGGGACATGATGAGGGAGGAGGTGGGACTGGCTCCCAGCACTTCTCAAACTTCCATTGTGGATTTGATGGTGGAGACACCACATGTGATGTGGGGCCGTATTCTGTGCTCTCCACTGAATCCCGTACTTGACCAACTACTTTGCTTTCTCCACTTCTCTCACTCACAGGAGACCCCAGCATCTGCTCCATCTCCAACCCTGACTTTGTCCTCTACTCTTCAGTGGTGTCCTTCTACCTGCCCTTCGGAGTGACTGTCCTCGTCTATGCCAGGATCTACGTGGTGTTGAGACAGAGGAGACGGAAGCGGATCCTCACTCGACAGAATAGTCAGTGCCTCAGTGTCAGACCCGGCTTCCCCCAACAGGTGAGCATCCTGGAGCAGCAGAAAGAAGACACAGCCTCCCAGCCTGTGTCCAGCAGTGCACGCTTTTGCCTGTTATGCCCATCAGGGACACACATCTGCCACCTTTTAACCTGCAGATATTGGCTGGGCCTTAGATGGAGGAAATCCAATCTCAACAGTGCATTGATAGTCTTCCCTAGAGCACCCTTTCTGGGCTTGTTCTGCTTCCTTTCAAAGTCTTTCATTGCCCTCAAATGGCAGCTGTTCAGATATCACACAGGTATGAAGTTTTAGTGTAGCAGCTTTACCATTCACTGCTGCTGGGTTTCCAGGAATGACTTCTTGGCCAGACCATTCACATCAAGAATTACTAGGGGTCTGTTGAAACTTCTTTTCCTTTCTAAATCTGCCTCTGTGTCAAGGCACTAACCAGCTGGTAGAATGGGATGCTGATGGCACATTTTATTAGATCTTTTGAGGCTCTGAAAAGGAAGTTCATTGATATACTCCAATTGCTTGGGCTGTAAATTCTGCTTACTCCAGTGCCTAGTACATGGTTCAAGTGAATTCATTTGAAGCATGAATGGATATATACCTATCACTTGCAACTGCTAAGCAAGAGACAGCAGGGATATTATACAGCCTCTACCTTCATGGAGTTTAAAACCTTATATAACTAAATAAAACACACCTGCACCCAAAATTAATGAGCAGCCCAAACTGAATAGAATGTTTGCCAAAGTGAGATGAAGGCAACTAAGCACATAAATATTAAATGCTGGAGAGGTTATGAGAAGATAAAGTCAATATGCTCAGGAAAGGGCTTCATATAGTAAGAACTGGGTTTGATCTTGAAGGTAGGTCCAAACTGGACATCTAGATCAACCTGTAATGACTTGAGTGAGAATCAGAATCTCAAACTGAAAGTCCCAAAGCTTCAGTGGAAAAGGAATATTGGCCCCCAAGAAATAGGACGTCAGGACCCAAGACTGAGGATATGAACATGTTGTATTCATATAGCATCATCTATATGAGCCAACTATATAGAGCTTAACACACAACTGTTTCTCTTTCAACACACCCTAGTCTGCGTGTCTACAGTTACACCCCATTCGGCAGTTTTCAATAAGGGCCAGATTTCCATCAGATGCCACGCGGAAAATGGTAAGTAAGCCATGCCTTTGGTTGTAGGAAAAGAATAAGAGACCCTTTCTCAAGACAATGGCTTGACTCAATCCCACTTCCACCCCAAAATGAATTTGGCCCCAGTCTCATACTTGGATTTATGATAAATGACAAACTTGAGAACCTATCTAATTTGAGCTTCAGAATAGGCATTATCAAGTGATATTCCAAAAGCATGTGACTCTTGGGATAGATCCCAATGACTGAAGCCAGTGACTCTTGGATGTGTTGTGGACTTTACTGTCCAGAACCACGTCCATTAGAGGGAAAGCACATCACTGAACCAGATATGGGCAGAGCTAAGAAAAGTAGAAAAAGGAGGCTAATGGGATAATTTCATGTGCCCAATTGCCATCCAATATGGGGAAAACCAAGACATTCTCATAGTTGCCCTAATTCTTATTCTTCCCATTCAAACCAGCCCTGACTCCCCAAGCAAGCCAAGTGCCAAATGGAGCCTAAAAATGTTGGATAAAAGACCAGTATCCCTCTCCCTAAACTCCACAGCTAAGTAAATATTAGGAATAAAGCTTCAAAAACCCATAATGATGAATGACAGAGCCTTGTTTAATCTCTGTATAGTTCAGTCACTCTGTCATGTCCGACTCTTTGCAACCCCATGGACTGCAGCACGCCAGGCCTCCCTGTCCATCACCAACTCCCAGAGTTTATTCAAACTCATGTCCGTGGAGTTGGTGATGCCATCCAACCATCTCATCCTCTGTTGTCCCCTTCTCCTCTCACCTTCAATATTTCCCAGGATCCGGGTTTTTTCAAATGTGTCAGCTCTCAGCATCAGGTGGCCAAAGTATTGGAGTTTCAGCTTCAGCATCAGTCCTTCCAATGAATATTCAGGACTGATTTCCTTTAAGATGGACTGGTTGGATCTCCTTGCAGTCCAAGGGACTCTCAAGAGTCTTCTCCAACACCACAGTTCAAAAGCATCAATTCTTCTGCGCTCAGCTTTCTTTATAGTCACGTATAGTCACATCCATACATGACTACTGGAAAAACCATAGCCTTGAATAGATGTGTGTTTGTTGGCAAAGTAATGTCTCTGCTTTTTAATATGCTTTCTACATTGGTCATAACTTTTCTCCCAAGGAGCAAGCGTCTTTTAATTTCATGGCTGCAGTCACCATCTGTAGTGATTTGGGAGCTCAAAAAAATAAAGTCTCTCACTGTTTCCCCATTTATTTGCCATGAAGTGATGGGACAAGATGCCATGATTTTAGTTTTCTGAATTTTGAGTTTTAAGCCAACTTTTTCACTCTCCTCTTTCACTTTCATCAAGAGGCTCTTTAATGCTTCTTTGGCTTCTTCCACAAGGGTGGTATCATCTGCATATCTGAAGTTATTGATATTTCTCCTGGCAATCTTGATTCCAGCCTGTGCTTCCTCCAGCCCAGTGTTTCTCATGATGTACTCTGCTTATAAGTTAAATAAGCACGGTGACAAGATACAGCCTTGATGTACTCCTTTCCCTATTTGGAACCAGTCTGTTGTTCCATGTCCAGTTCTATCTGTTGCTTCCTGACTTGCATATAGATTTCTCAAGAGGCAGGTCAGGTGGTCTGGTATTCCGATCTCTTTCAGAATTTTCCATAGTTTGTTTCCACACAGTCCAAGGCTTTGGTGCAGTCAATAAAGCAAAAGTAGATGTTTTTCTGGAACTCTCTTGCTTTTTCGATGATCCAGTGGATGTTGGCAATTTGATCTCTGGTTCCTCTGCCTTTTCTAAATCCAGCTTGAACATCTGGAAGTTCTTGGTTCACGTACTGTTGAAGCTTGGCTTGGAGAATTTTGAGCATTACTTTGCTAGTGTGTGAGATGAGTGCAATTGTGTGGTAGTTTGAACATTCTTTGGCATTGCCTTTCTTTGGGATTGGAATGAAAACTGACCTTTTCCAGTCCTGCAGCCACTTGATGTGTTTACAAAATTTGCTGGCATATTGAGTGCAGCACTTTCACAGCATCATCTTTAGGATTTGAAATAGCTCAACTGGAATTCCATCACATCCACTAGCTTTGTTCGTAGTGATGCTTCCTAAGGCCCACTTGACTTCGCATTCCCACCAGACTTTGTCTGGCTCTAGGTGAGTGATCATACCATCATGATTATCTGAGTCATGAAGATCTTTTTTGTATAGTTCTTCTGTGTATTCTTGCTACTTTTCTTAATATCTGTATAGTTAACTGACCATTTTTACCAGTTACAGACTCTTGCTGCAAATAATTTTTTTTTTTTTTTTTAGTAGATAGGAGGTTTAAAGTTACCTACAACAAATCCAAGGTCTGAGAAGGCTCCAAGGGCAAATGAAGGAAAATTAGTGACTACGTATGAGAGATTGGAGGATCAAGACGCTGGCATTGTCTGGAGTGGGGAGAATTAGGTTCTGTCCTGCCATCTGGGAATGGAGGGCTCTGCTAGCCAGATCCCAAGGAGTCCAGTGTTTCTTCATGTCACTCAGAGAGGTAGTGATGAAAGTTTGTAGAGAGAGCTGAAAAATATGCTCACCAATGTGAGAATGGGAAGAATCACTTTCCTTCAGTAGGACTGAATTTCCAAATCTATGAAAGGGAGACAAGCTGCATTAGATCAGTGTTCTCCAATGTGAGATTTCATAAGCACTCTCAGAAATTTGTCCCTGGCCCTTTAGTTTCAGAAATGATGCATCTTTTAGAAAATCACTAGATGTCAGCTCAGTCATAAATATAATCTTACAAATGGTCAGCCAGATAAATCACAATATCCTTATGTTAATTATTAGAAAATTATATCAAAATGAAAACCAAATTTTAAAAAACATATTATGATAGAATCCCTACAAACACCTCTGTGAGAAATTTCTAAAACACTAAACTATCTTGAAGGCCACTTGTATTCATTCATTCATTTATTCAACAATGTTTCTAAGTGTGTGTAGTATACTGCCCCTGAGTATTTGGAAGACTATGATTCCTTGAACTAAGGAGATACTAGTGAAAGTTCTTGGTTGTTGACACTGACTAACATGTAAAAAAGGAATTTACTGGAAGGATATCAAGGAGCTCAAGCTTAACAAGAAGGCTAAAGAACAGCTTCAGAAGATGCTGTTCATGCCTAAGGAAGAATCTGGGTAGAATAGTGAGGACACTGGACACTGACTGTCACCACTGCTAGATGAATTCTGAAGTCTTGCTTCATGAGCAATTTCAAGGTTGTAGGTGCAAATCTCCAGTTGGCTGGGCTTGGTTCATGTGTTCATGTGCCAGAGTTCTAGCTGCCCTGTGGAGAGGTCAGGGAGAGTGAATATCTGATTTTCATGGCTTCAGTATGGGTGTTGGGGAGTCTTTTTTCTACTCAAAATTAACACAGTATCTGAGTTTTCAAACATGAAAAGAAGTGCTGTTGTTGAGCACACACACATCCTCCAAAATACCCAAAATATCTGCATATCATCAGTTTTCTACTCTGAGTCTGCTCACCCCAAACCTATTTCTTTTTATTTTTTTTCTGTTTTATAAGTGAGGCTCAGAGACATTTAATTAACTTGCCCAAGGATGCATCTAAGTAGTAGGAAGCTGAGATGAAAATCCTGGGTTTTTTTTTTAACTTTTTGTTATTGAAAATTTCCAAAGTAAAAAAGTAGAAAGACAAATATAACTAAGCCTTCAGTAGCCATCAGCCAAGCTCAGCAATTATCAGCTCATGGCCCTGTCTTCTTTCAACTACATGCCCATCTACATTCATACACCCCCACTGGATTGTTGTGAAGCAGATCTCAAACGTAATAGCATGTCAACCAAAAATATGCTATAAGACTCTCTAAAGGATATGGACTCTTTTATAAAACATATAACCACAATACCACATCACACTAACAAATTTAATAATAATTCCTCCCTGGTGGCTCATATGGTTAAGAATCTGCCTGCAGTGTAGGAAACCCGGGTTCAATCCCTAGGTCAGGAAGATCTCCTGGAGAAGGGAATGGCTACGCACTCCAGTATGAGGAATCTGGTGGGCTACAGTACATGGGGTCACAAAGAGTCAGATACGACTGAGCAACTAACACACACACAATATTAAATATTCATTCAAAATTTCCTCAAATGTCAGGTAAATTTTTATAGATTGTTTATTTGCATCAAAATTCAAGTAAGACCCATACTTTTCACCATTAGGTGTTGTTGTTGTCATTGCAATTTATTTGTTGAAGAAGTTGAGTCATTTGTCTTGTAGTTTCCCATATTCCAGATTTTTCTCCTTACATCCTAATGGTGTCATTTAACATATTCCTCTGTATATCCAGGTCATTCTACCTCAGAAAGTCCAGGCTATAATTCTATGCTCCCCTCCTCAAGGGATTATTGTGATTCCCAGATGTTTATGTGGTAGGTGCTTTTGGTTGTAAAGGCACAAGCAGATTTTGTTTACCATAACTTCCCATGAGCCCACCACTCTCAGAGGTACCCTCTGCAGGTTTCACAGAATGATGGTTTCTTTTTCCTTCATTGCACTGTTTCCCTTTCAGGAGCATTCAGAAGATAAACAATATCCCCAGAACTGTCAGGACCCACTCTTGTTACATCTACAGCCCCTCTCCCCTGGCCAGACACACGTGGAGCTGAAACGCTACTACAGCATCTGCCAAGACACTGCCTTGGGAACACCAGGATTCCAAGAAGGGGAGGGAGACTTGAAAAGGGGAGGGAGGACTCAAAACTCTCTCAGCCCTACCATGGCACCTAAACTCAGCCTAGAAGTTCGAAAACTCAGCAATGGCAGGTTATCAACATCCCTGAGGCTGGGGCCCCTGCAACCTCGGGCAGTGCCTCTGCGGGAGAAGAAGGCAACCCAGATGCTGGTCATTGTGCTTGGTGAGTTTGAGTCATGTTAAGCTGGGATAGGTTGGATTACATTGGCTTAGGCTGAATTCAGTGGAGCTGGTGGAGGATACTTGGGTAACCATATTTAACAGAAATTGGAAATCTGACAACTTTAATACTTGTAAATGTTAATATTTATAAATGTTTAGAATGTAAAGAGTTTGTGAATACATCTTAATGCTGATGGAAATTCAAAACACTTAGTCTGAAATTTATGAAACCAAACAAGTCACTAATTGAGCTGTGCTTTGCTTCTATCTCTTGGAATTATAATGGATAAACCAAATAATAAATAAGACAACAACTCAATAAAACCATCTGGCACATATTGGATATTACTAAATGCTTACCTATTTTAAAATATTGAGGGGGGAAAATGAGGATGCAAAGAGACTACTGTCATATGATATATGACATCTAGATTATAACATCTAGATTAAATATAGAGAAAAAAGACTGAAAATTAATTCACTCATATGTCCAAAGTGATTGTTTAGTGGCTGATTATTTCACTTTTTTTTGCTTTTCCATATTTACCAAGTTTTCCATAATGTATAAAACTGGAACTAGTTTTTATAGTAGAAAAATGCAAACTTTATTTAATAAAGAAATTAAAAATTGATAAGTTGCAGATGCCATATAGAGTTAGTTAAGGTAACCATATACTGGACCAGTGAGTCAGTTCTTCACATCAGGTGGCCAAAGTATTGAAGTTTCAGGTAACCATATTTAACAGAAATTGGAAATCCAACAACTTTAATACTTGTAAATGTTAATATTTATAAATGTTTAAAATGTAAAGAGTTTGTGAATATATCTTAGTGCTGATGGAAATTCAGAACTGACTCATTGGGAAAGACCTTGATGCTGGGAAAGACTAAATGTGGGAGGAAAAGAGGAAGACAGAGGATGAGATGGTTGGATGGCATCATCAACTCAATGGACATGAGTCTGAGTAAGCTCCGGGAATTGATGATGGACAGGGAAGCCTGGTGTGCTGCAGTCCTTGGGGTTGCAAACAGTCGGACATGACTGAGTAACTGAACTGAACTGTATCCTGTTCACTGTCAGAAACAAGCCCCAAACTTGTCATATCTTAGGGACTTCTCATATCCAGGGAACCCCTATGTTAATCTCCTTATCAGCCTTAATTATGTCAATTGCATTTTTAAGGTCTTCCCCTATCAGTGCCATGAATCATATCTTGCATGGATAGACATAAAATAAACATTTGAATTGAACTGAGAAGTAGACAAGGCTAGTGAAGAATTATCTACAGATCAAACTAGAAAACTAATTTAGGAGCAAAAGTCTGGGATGAATCAAAGATGTAAGCATCTAGCTTTCTCATCTAAAAAAAAAGAAAGTGACTAATCATACCTGTTTCATAGGTTTGGTATAAAAATTAGAACTTTAAAATTAAACTTGCAGCATACTGGCTGCCATTAAGTAGACAACTGGGACTCATTTTCATGCTGCAACAAAGGAAGTAAACAAATCCCTGACCCAGTTTTTCTTTTCCTTTGCAACCTAGGGACCTTCATTGTCTGCTGGCTGCCCTTCTTCTTGACCCATGTTCTCAATACCCACTGCAGAGCATGCCACGTGTCCCCACAGCTCTACAGTGCCACCACATGGCTGGGCTATGTGAATAGTGCCCTCAACCCCGTGATCTATACCACCTTCAACATGGAGTTCCGGAAAGCCTTCCTCAAGATACTGTCCTGCTGAAGGAGGATAGGAGAGAAGACTCCCTGTGCCCACCTTTAGCTGCCAGGCCACAGTGCTGCTGGCCAAGGCCTGCTCAGAATGATGGTGCAGTGTTTTCTGAATGGGGAAGGAAGGAGATCCCTGGAGCAAGGATGTCCCTGTGTGGCAGATGTCACCAACTACTTCCTCTAGAACAGCATGTTCTACCTCCCCAGCTAAAATCTGACTTCACTCTGGCAATCTTGAAGTGGTTTAGGGCCCCTGAATGATAAGCAATAATTCAGAGAGAAGCTGATGGAACACGATTCCACACACAAACACAATTGTCATCAGAGGCATGATTCATTACGTGAAGGAAATAATGAACAGAGCTCATAATTTTCAACTTGCCAAGGGTCCTTGAAATCTCAGCCAGTAAACCATCTTGCAGACAGCCAGTCTCTCTTCCTTCAAATTTCTAATTAACTGTCAGGCTAACCTTGTACTTTCATGGGCCCACTCTCTCTGGTCATTCCTTTCATTCACTGCATCCTAAAATATAACAGCAAGGCCAGTGCTTCCACCTCTCCATAGACTCTGACTGGCTACATTTAGTTTGGGAAATTCCTCACCCTGAGAGAGACATGGTCTCACACTGGGACCTGGGATTCATTTTAAACCTTGCTATCCCTGTATTTTGGGCTTCCCTTGTGGCTCAGTGGTAAAGAATCCACCTGCCAAGCAGGAGACATGGGTTCAATCCCTGGGTCAGGAAGATCCCCTGAAGAAGGAAATGGCTACCCACTCCATTATTCTTGTCTGGGAAATCCCATGGACAGAGAAGCCTGGTGCGCTATGGTCCATGGGGTCACAAAAGAGTCAGATATGACTGAGTGACTAAACAACAACAACCTCTGTATTTTAGCTCTAGCTAAGAAGCCCCTTTGATTCCATTCCCTTACTTTCAGAGTGTCAGCTTCAGAGTAATTCAAGATGCAGGTGAAATGACAAAGGAAGGACAATTCTCTCTATAGTATCACTGTTGAAACTTATGGTTCAGAACATGCTTTAGATGTGCTTTTCATAACCTCGTGTGAGGTTTTCCTACACAGACATCTCCATCTCCTGCTTAACAGAGATCCAGTACTTTCAGACCCAGAAACCCATTGAGTATTAAGTGTCTACAAGGCACCATTCATCTCCCAGGTTCTGGATATATGACAATGAATAATACAGCTCCTGCCCTCAAGGAGCCCCCCACCTGCTCCAGTGTTTGACTGTTCACTTGTCTAAGGATGGTAGGGACTCACCTAAACTACCAGAGGACCCCAGAACTGAGACCAAGTAGCTGTCTAAAGCCATCATAAGGACAGTCTTTGAAAAGTCCTAATGCAGATGCTAAACATTATCCTCCAACAATTTAGATTAAAGGTATAATAGAAACAATGTGTAAATGTCATTCAAAAGTGCATTTAGAAGAAACTTGAATATTCTCACATTTACCTTTTCACCTACAGAAGCTCTTTCTTATTGATTACAGGATCAATAAAATCTGTGGATAATTTATGAAACATTATCATCCTGAGCTTCAATAAATATACTGCTAAGACCTGTTAGTGCATGGGCATGACAGATATTTGCTGCATTGCTGTTAAAACCTCAAAATGCACAGGAACTCTATATGGAATCCAAGGCTTCCTTTGCCCCTTCTTATTCCTTTAACCCTAAGTGTATATAAAGAGGATATATACACCCCCCCCACTCCAGTGAATCAGTTACTCTTACTCCTGAATGCTTTAATTGCCAATATTGTAAAATATTATTGTCCATAACAATGCTGTCTGCCCACTAGTTCTTGTACCTGATGCCATCTGGCACAATAGGTTTATGGAACAAGTAGAACTAGGGACTGAGACAATTAAATATCAGAAGAAGTCAAAGTACGTGAGTCCTAAGTTTTTCTATGCAAAACTAACAGCAACAAAGGTGGGACAGTGGGGTGAAAGATAATAGAATTTCATATCAAAATCAGAGTCCTAAAAGGGGAAATATAAATAGCATCAGTACTCAAAATATTTGTGAAGAACAGTGATAGCAAATATTTTGTACCATTTATTTACATCAGGTCATCCAACTACTAATGATAACTTTAGAAAGATAAACATCATTTTGTACATGAGGAAGCTGGGGCACAGGGAGGGAAGAGGTTTGCCTCAGGTCACACAGTCAATAAGTGGCAAAACCAGGATACAAGGGTCCATCTGCCTGATTTCTAAGCTCATGCAATTAACCACTGAGAGTGGTAAAGGGGTGGGGAGAAAAAGATGGAACAAAGATCCCCAGGAGAGTCTTTTTTTTTTCCATTTATTTTTATTAGTTGGAGGCTAATTACTTTACAATATTGTAGTAGTTTTTGCCATACATTGACATGAATCAGCCATGGACTTACATGTATTCCCCATCCAGATACCCCCTCCCACCTCCCTCTCCACCCAATTCCTCTGGGTCTTCCCAGTGCACCAGGACCAAGCACTTGTCTCATGCATCCAGCCTGGGCTGGTGATCTGTTTCACCCTAGATAATATACATGTTTCGATGCTGTTCTCTCGAAACATCCCACCCTCGCCTTCTCCCACAGAGTCCAAAATTCTGTTCTGTACATCTGTGTCTCTTTTTCTGTTTTGCATATAGGGTTATCGTTACCATCTTTCTAAATTCCATATATATGCGTTAGTATACTGTATTGGTCTTTATCTTTCTGGCTTACTTCACTCTGTATGATAGGCTCCATCTCATTAGAACTGATTCAAATGGATTCTTTTTAATGGCTGAGTAATATTCCATGGTGTATATGTACCACAGCTTCCTTATCCATTCGTCTGCTAATGGGCATCTAGGTTACTTCCATGTCCTCCCCAGGAGAGTCTTATCCTGCCCCACCCACCTCCACCTTGGACTCTCTTGAGAATCCAAGGCATTACTCTCACCCTCCTTTCATGTTCAACCTCTGAACCAGTCACATGGGACATTCATAATCTGTCTTTGCAGAATCATGGAACAGACCTGAGGGAGTATTGGTTCTATCCTCTCCTTCATTCACAGAAAAGGAAACTGACCCAGAATTGTTGTCCCACCATTGGTTAATGACAGACAAGTACTCGAATCTGCTAAATCCTAGTTCAGTACTCTCTCTACTTTACCACACTGCCTGTGAGCCCCATAAAAATCATAAACTCCATACAGATACAAGGACAAAGTCCCACTGTCATCTCCATCATTAAACTGAGGCACTTTCCCCCTCCATAGTATCTATTAGGAAACATCTCCTTTCCAGAATTTCCCTCTGAGCCAGGAAGAGCCTCCTAGGGGAATCCCAAACACATCTTCCAAGCACTCACTTCAGCCTCTTTATCCTGAGGTTCTGCATTCTACCTCCTCCACCTCTTCATTCCCAACATGAATCGGCACACTCTACCCTTGAGCTCGCTACTTCCAGAACCAGTATGATCAAATATCCCAGGAGAGATGCTGGCCTGAATAAGGTAGAGCAGAGTTCTTGGGGCAAACCAGGCCTGGAGTCCAAAGACACCTAAGAGCAGTCCATACTGTTTGCGTGAAATGTAAACAGTGTGGATATCCAAACAGATGACAACCAACATTCAACTTTAGATCTGAAGTAAATATTTTCTTCTTCTACAACACCATCCTAAAAAAATTCCATTCATTACTCATTTACTTAATCAACCCCTTATTCAATAAATATTGATTGGTTACTTTCTATGTGCTAAACATGGTGCTTGATGCTGGGAAATAGGAGCAAGGAAGCCAGAATCCTTGTTTTCAGCAGCTTGTGGTCCAGTGGGGAGGTAGAATGCCTGTGCACAGTAATGACCTGCTTGTCACCTATTTTAAAGGGAATTCATGGTGTCTGGAGATCCCATATTCAACCTTGAGAAGGCTTTGCAGACATGCCAGGGTTGAGACATAATTAAAAAGTAGAAAGAGTGTTCCCAACAGAGAAGACCTCTGAAAAAATAAGAGAAAAAGCAAGGAACATGCAAGGTACCTCAAATAATTACATCTGGCTATAGAGAAGAGACCCTAGAGATAAGGCAGGAAAGGGCCTCATTGTTGGCAACACCCTCCAGCTCTGCAGAAATGGCTGCTGAGCTGGTGGTGACATCTCTCACAGAAACTCTCAAGATTCTGCCTCTGCTTTCCTCCACATGGGCAACGCACATCACAGCACATTTACCGCTGACTAATCTAACGACTTCTCTCTGAATTATGATGAATTTCAATAAAAGCAGAATTCAATTTGAATTTTTGCTCTTTTCTCTACAAGAAGAGGAATGACTAGTTTGGTGGCTGTACAGTCAAAGATGGCCAAAGTTAAGAGAGTTTAGTTCAGAAATCAAGGGAGTTTAGGTCAGAAATCAAGGGAGGTCAGACAAAAAGATTTGTTTTCCTGAATGCTCAGGTCAGAACTAAAGAGGCAGAAAGGTTAATGCATTCGCTAAGAACGGGCTTTTTCTTGGAGATCCTGACTCCCAGGCCTGTGCTCTGAATGTCTGATATCTGCTGACTTCAGAACACTGAAAAAGCTTAATTTGAATCAACACACAGAGAGCAGCAAGGGGATGACAGGCAATTAATTTGATTCCTCCTTTCTACCTAATTCTCTCCTCATCAGCTCAGAAAGGGAGTGAGTTTCCATGACTACCTTCTGACACACAGAGACACAGTTGAGGGTGATGCCAGTGTCAGCTCTGCTTTGTAACACACACTGGTGAGGACAAACCCGAAGTCTGTGCCAAGCACAAGACCTGGAACCTCTTGCTCCACCTGCCCTCACCTCAATTAATCACCCAGCCTCTACCATTGTACATCAAGTCCCTGCTTTGTGCAGCCTGCTGGATAACAGGAGGAGAGGATCCATGGCCGTGGGCCACCAAGGATGGATATGTGCCAGAGAGGGAGCTGGGCTGAACCCAAGGTGGCTCTGACCAGCTTATGGGAAAAACAATGGACAGAAATGAGAG